TTTTACATGTAGCCTGTGGTCATACTGTAATTAGGTAAAAAGTAAGTTGAATGGCATATACATTAAGGAAGTTATGGATCTTCTAGATTAAAATTACTTGTCAAAGTTTATTCACACTGTACTCAAAATTGTATCATATTATGGTCACATTTTCAAATTTGCAGTTGGATTTTTTTAGATATCCAAACAAAATTCTAAGAATACTTGGCAGTGTCATTCAGTATACTTCCCAGTTCTCACAGTTTGCCAGTGTTTCACAAGATTCTCAGGCAAAACATATTTTTGCACAGAAGCTTTGAAACAGCAGTTTTCTGTCAGTTTCAAAGGACAGAGGGAGGAGAGATAATGAATAGGCCTAACTGTGAAATATTTCTTGGCTTAATGCTTCTATATTTGGCTTTTGTCTCGAAGATGTGGTGCTTCAGAGGTTGCAGCAATCGGTGACAGCTTATTAGCATTTTCAGATATTAGGAGCTGCCCTCTTCTGAAACCCCTTCCGTTGCTCTGAGACAAAGCCTGTTGACCTTACTATGGCCCGTGTCACTTGCAGTTCTTCATTTGCATTCACTGGCTTCATTTCTTTGATACCCAGGAAGCTTTGATAATAGTCTTTATAAATCAAATTGTGAGATCTGAAAAACAGAACACTATCTGTTCATATCAGGGCTACAAATACCGGAGATACAATAATAGTTTTTTTTAAGTAACACAAATAGCGGACGGTAATGAAAACATCAGAGGTTTGTCATGAAGGGATCCTTCAATCTACATTTAGCTGGCTGAACGGCTTGTCAAAAGCTGGGCAAACAGGAAGCTCCCCCATCACACACAGGCACCTTCTTTGAAAGGTAGAAAAGACAAAAACCTGCCAGGCTGCCTACACATCATCCCACTATTTCCTAGGCTTTAGTTTTAGAAGACCTCTCTTTACTGTGTGTGCATATAAAAAACATCTCAATCATACCAAGTGAAAATAGGCAACATGTTATGGACCAATCGATTATGAAGAGATGAGGGAAAAGAAGCAGGAATCCGACCATTTGCTGTTTTGCCAATTAAAAAATGCACTCCTGAAAGTATTCAAAATTCACCCGGATCTCACATTTAATAAATTCTATACTGACCAGTAAAAGAAGTGTAGCACTTTGTTTATGTATGTACGTTTTTCGAAAAATGAAGTACAGTATATAGCTCTTTAGCATATTCTTCATTTTTTGTCAGCAGCATTTTGATTATCATTCATGATGGACAGCGCAACAATTGAGTGACTTTAACTGTTGTACTGTATAAGCACTATATCTACTCATTAGTGATGAAGCCAATAGGGCATAGGTGATGAGCTGATTTAATGACTTGAGTGTCAAGGCTGGTGAAAATTAAGAAAGGGAAAAAAAAACAGAAAGGAACCAGTATATCTGGGTTAACAAAAAAACACACCTTTGAGCTATCAGTATATTGGAGACTGAGTTAATGCAAAATGTCAGTGCACCTGATGTAATAAGGCTTGGTCATTCTTCTGATAATAACTTGGTGAATTTGTTGCAGTTACAAGTAATACATTTCTTTGAATGTGCTGTATAAAAGTAAAAATTTTAAATGATACAAGACAGACAATTTAGAACAGTCGTCTTCTTTTAATTCAATCCATGCCCTTGCTATCTGCAAAACAGCCACAGCAAATAGAATCTGGTTAACAGCTTTGCCCCGACAAATCATTAGTGACCACGGTTAGTCTTGGAGCTCTGTGGTACAGTATATGAACAGTGTTGTGAATGCTCAGTCTACCTTACTCTACATTTAAATTGCCATGGCTTACAGAGCACACTGATGGTCTAGACCATCAATTAACTCATGTTTCGATTAATCAATTATCAAGAATGACAATCAGGATCCATTTTAATTTCATTATATTACGGGATAGTGAATGGAGAGCTGTGCCAGTGTGAGAGAGCTGTAAAGGAACATGTAGAGGTTAATTCTACAAATATTAAAGTACACAACCAACAATTTACTTGTGGAGCCATTCAAAAGAGAGAAAAAAAGAGAGAATAAATAAAGAATATGTAAATTAAATAGGTAAAAGGTAATGATCAAAATAGAGAATATGTAAACAAAAGAGAGAATACTGTAGGTAAGAATTGGCAGGGAGATCCAAGGGGAATAATCAGATGGAAAAGTTTGGGACAGATTATAAGAAAGGTTTGAAAAGTAGTAATTGTAAACAGATAGTGAGTTCGAAAAAAAAGATTAGTCGATTCTGGATGGCTTTGCGAACAATTATATGCAAATGGGGGGACACTTACTTTCATAAATGCAATACATGAGATCATTGTACAGGTATGGTGCCCTCTGTGTGATCCAGAAGTAACTACAGGAGCTACAGTACTGTATGTTTATGTACAGTATGCAGCTGGAAATGTTTTCAAAAGTGATAAAGCAACTTTATTGAACCAAAAAGCTGTGTGTGAATGGTGGATGTGGATGGTTAAGGAGGCTGTGGACCAGAAAGCTGCATAGGATTGTTGGTCTGTGGTGGGAGTGGAATAAAAGTGTTAGGACCCCTTTTAACTGCAGGGCATCTCCAGGAGCAATTTGAGTGAAACACTTTGCTCAAGTGTTTGACAGAGGTGTCCCACCCAGGATATGAACCCACAGCCCTCTGCTCTAGAATCCAAAGCCCTGACTACTACTCCTTACATGCTTAATGAAAATCAATAAAAACAAACATAATATACCACTCTATCCTGATTATTAATTGTAGTATATTTAATAATCATAATCATGATTAGGATGATAAATCCACTGTACTGTAAGACATATTACAGGTATTAAAAGATGACTCTTCCACATACTTTAGTGTTAGGTCATGGTATTTTAAAAGTATTTTTTTTGTGAATGAACAGAGCATGAAGAATAACAGTGCCAACAATCTAGTTAGTTTGTTTAAATGGCCAAACCAGGTGCATATTATAGGCATCCATAAATTATCCACTGAAGATGATGAAAGCAGAGAAGGTCAAGATTTTTATTGTCATAATTAAATGTGATTTTATTGCCTCCGCTGACTTCAGGCAGTTTACAATGGGCATGTTTTCCATTACCTGGTGAGGAACCAACTAAAAAAAAATATACTGAATCAAGAATGACATCTTTATAGTTGGAGAATTTTCAAATCTGAGTCAGATGTCTGAAATGAAGATTCTGTTTGCCTTTGGTGACTGTGATAAGATTATGTCTCTCTTCCCTTTTGTTTCCCTACCATCTCTGAGGTGGAGAGGGTTAACAACACCCACAATTCCCCATGGAAGCAACAAGATGGATAGAACGCTGCACCATTTTGATTCGATTAAGCCCATCTGATAAATTTATTGCTGGCATTTTCAAAATTAAATTAAGGCACGTCTCTAGCAGACTGTTTTCCAGCCCGGGTGCCATAAATACATTTCATTTGCCTCTGTGAAGTGAACACAAAAAAGAGAGAAAAAGTGAGCAAAAGATACTTTATAGTAGTAGGGTAACCAGGAGTTCGAGACAGATTTCTAATGAGTCCACTATGGCTGACAGAATAGGATAATGAGGTGTGCTGTATTTCATCCCTGTATACAATGGTACCTTATAGACTGTGCTCCTTCATTTAGAGAACAAATCTACTACAGTGAATTGTCTTTGTATATATTTACTGTACATCAAGAAACCAAAACTTAATAAGACAAATATTTAAATGCTTTATATTCCAGCTTTGGGTCCAAAGACGTTTTACTGCAGATGGACTTGCCAAAACAGTTCAATTCTCTCATTACTCACACAATGAGTAAAACAACTGTTTCTTTTTCTTTTTTTTTTTGCTTTTCTTTTTACCCTTCCTTATTCAGCAGCTGAGATTTCCAAAACAGATGGGCCATTAAATTTGTTACATTTCTGTTGCTGTTAGTGTTGATGAAGCAGCTTTACTGTGTCCACGAAGTTGCTGTTTATTTATGTCCCCTGCTTTCAAAAGCATATGGCGTACTCTCCCTTTACAACTGATCAAAAGACTGCCTTGCCACACATCCGTCTTTCCCTGGGACAGAGTGGTGGAAGTGCTCTTCGATCATTTTTGCTTGTCATCATTTCAGCAAAGACTGGTCTCCAATACTGACAGCAGTAGTGAGGTGCTTTATCATCACCAATGATTTTCTGAACAGCTGATAGAGAGACATTTTGTTCCCACACCCAATACATGAAGTACATAGATATCTAATTATTGTACCTGGGTAGCTTGATAATTACTTACTGTAACAACAGTGAATAAACAAACAGAAATCTTGTACCAGGCTTTGTTTCAGGAAGGTAAAAACAGATCAGCCCACCCTTTTCTACAAACTAAGGAACAGCTTTGAAAGGAAAGGCAACATTTTAGCAATGTAAACTACAACTTGATTGTCTATTGTCTAGCCTCTTAACAAGCGTTCTGCAATCACATAAGATACATAATTAATCAAAGTGAAGACGTGAAGATGCAGACATTTTAGACTTTAATGAGCCTTTTTATCTTCAACTGTCTTATCAAACTCACAATAAAACCTGGTATGCACATTTGTGAAGCAGCCACCCCTGTAAGCTAAGTAAGATCTTACTTAAACTAGAAGAGTGTCAAATTGCACTTCACTTCAGTGTAAATGACACTTTTGGACAAATACAATAATAATAAAGTTAAAATTGGTAAGACCTTGTGGACTTGGAAGGAAATCTGAAAGTTACTCTAGTTTAACTGTTTTCATTCTAGTCAGGAAAACATTAGGTAACAAGACACTTGCATTATCTACACATGGGAACAGTATATAAATATCTAGAGAATTTGGGGCCTTCAGATTTAAACCCTCCTGTATCTTATACAATCCAATGCTAAACAAAAAACATTGATAATAAGTACATAATATTTAATAAGTGACACACAAATACTTTTTTTTTTATTTTGACAAGACAAACACACAAACTTAAAAACCTAAAAATGTACTTACCACGTCCTGAAGACACCGTGGTATCTATCAAGAGTAAAAAGTAACAAACATTAGATAAATATCAGACACACTTGTGTAGTATATCAGCTTAAAGAGTGTCATCTTAATTAAATAGTACTTTAATTTGGCTTTTTTGTTTGTTCATACTGTAAGAATGTGTTTGCACAGCATTTTTCAACAGAGAAAGGAACATTTACGAAAACTTTGCTCCTTGGAGATGATACTTAATATGACTAATTTTCTTTATTTTTCATCTACAAAAAATGTCTCAATTGAAAAATAATCTTTATTGCTATGGATCCATGGTGCTATTCCTTTATATTGTTTGAGAAAATAAATCCCGCTCATCTCTGAGCTCTTTCATGTGTAAGATTTTAAATCTTTATTTAGCAAATCAACTACTGTGGATTTTTAAAGCATATGGTATTAGGTAAATGTTTTTACAGTTATGGCAAAATATGGCAAAAGCTAGGAGATCAGAGGTACTGTAGTTCTCATCTCTCAGTACTATATAAACTCTTCTAAAAATCTTAACCATCATTTTCTTAGCTCAGCAATGAAAACTCAATGGAAGTACCTGTACATAACTAACATGCAAATGTCTTGCATTAAGGCCATTGACATTGGAGTGAATGTAGCATTTTCTCTAAAGTTAACCTACTCTTAAAGCTTTACAAGGGCAGACATGACACACGGAATGATAGTAGCTACGAGGCATCCTGCAGTGATCTGAGCCCTTACATGTTCAATGCAAATTATTATTAAGAGTAATATTTAAACAGTGCCAAAGATAGGACAGGAATAAAAATGGAATAACCTGCGCCAAATAAAATCGTGGAGAGGAGAAAATAATCCTGCTTTCTTGTTGTTTCCATCACTAGTCAAGGGGAAGGAAGTCTTAGAGACTGAATTGTATAATCTTCTGACTGACAAATTTGCTGCAAACCTAAATAAGCACATAATTGAAAATGTCTTGTCAGAACTGCCCAACATTTTATAACCTCATCCCTCGTTGCGAGCACTCCTGCTAGCTTCTCTTCTCTGCCCACTTCTTACAGTTCTTTAATTCCTTTAAAATCACTCACAAAAGTCAATCTTGTAATAAATTTGTTACAGCACTTTTCTTATTACTGTACTGATAAACCCAGGTCATAAAAAACAAAAGGCATTTACCTCCAATTGCCCATTTAATATATTCAGACAATTATTACATTTAGAGTACCAATTAATCATTTACTTTTTCATATATTCATTTGATAGTTTTTGGGATGTTAAAAAACTTATTTTTAAATGGAACTAAAAAAAAAGAATATTCCACAGACCAAAAAATTACAGACAGAATGGTTAGATACACAATTAATTGAAAATAGGTTTGTTTTCGGTAGGGAGGACAGACGATGTACTGTTTGGTCTGACTGATAGGAGTATTTTATTTTCCACTGTCATTCAAGCTCTTGTTTATCACATTGCCTTTTCGTAATTGGGACATGGTTTAAAAGGCTTATGATTTTGTTTTGCAAGGTGCTTATGGTGGGTTTTCAGCAATATTACTTCATTTGTCATTACACAGACTTGGCTATTTCCGTGTCTTTGCAGCTATAATGATTTTGCCTTTCCTGTTAAAGTAGCTGCAATAAAAATTGATTTTTCATCTGAGCAACACAGCTGGCTGGCTCTGGATCTGTGGCTCTTTGCTTTATAGACAGCACTTTAAGCAATCCATGCCCTCTCCCTGCCCCCAAAGGAGAGACACTGAAATTTTATGAGAAACCATTTTCAGGTCTATTTTGCATTTATTGCCCTCATTTCGGCAAACACAGCCGAAACCCAGATCCTGACAAAGTTCAATCTCTTCCACCAATACGCTCCCAGACTTCTGTTTATGCACACCAAACAATTTTGCAGAGTACAATAGCTACATGCTGGTTACAGAGACACGAATGTGCACTGAATCTCAATTAGATTCAGCTACTCTTTTCTGAGGGTCCAAATAACCCTACACTCTGCTTTTATGGACTACAAGAAAGAAAGAAAAAAATCAATACAAACACTGGTGTTATATTTTTTTATTTGTATATTACTCTTTTTTTGCTGCAGTGCTTTCCATTAGGAACTTCTGTTTTTTTCCTGTGCTATGAGGACACCAAAGTAAACATGACCATTAAAAACTTTCACATGTGGTTCTTCTTGTGTATATAATTTATACAGACTTCAGCTTAGATGCCCAGTAGCACATTCTTAAAAGCAAGCAGTATATGCTCAAATCATCAGAAGTTAACAAACTTTAACATAAAACAATGAACTGAACTTTCTTTTGTCTGTCAAAACTTCACCAATCTTTAAAATGCATCCCAAGACCTAATCCAAAAGTACAGAATGCCTTAATGATGAACCACATTTTTCCTGTTCAGATAAAAGATATTTGATGCATTTTTATAAGTAACCATTCCACTGCTTGGCACACTAAAATTCTATCATAATAATAAAACACACATCTGCCAAGATATTAATAACGTGTTTTTTTTTTTCCACTAAACAAGGGAAGGTCAGGCAAACATGCCCAGGTAATGTATGAGTTTAGGTCTAATTTAAAGAATAACACTCTGATCATTCTTTAATCATTAAAATCTTATTCCTATATACTGTATGGTTTACTTCTCCACTGGGAAGCTCCTGTGAATTTAGCACAGAGGATTTGAGAAATGAAAAAAAAACAAACGCAAATACACAGCTCCAGCTACTATCAGAGAGCTGCCTAACTCCAATAAAAGAGAGCAAATATACAGTAACTCTTGGGCTACGGAGATTCTGTGGTATTTCCATGAGCTCACCCAAGCTTTGCATTAACCTATAGGACAGTAGTGGTAGGATCTCCAGGCATTCTAGGAATCTTGACCTTCTTTACCTTTCCACATCTCTCAGGAGCCTGTCCTTTTTATTACAAACCAGGAGTTCTGGTGCTTCCCATCACTTCTCAGGGCCCGAGTAGAATTGTGCTGCTGCAGGTGCCTAAGGAAATCTTCATGACATACTGCTTACTGTATATTCATTGAAACATTTCATTATTTCTGAAAAATATCCCCTTCAGGAACTATTACATAACCAATATATTCTTCACATCCTAGTGAATAATACCTTGTACTGGACATCAATATAGTATGCAAATCAAAGAATTAGAGTTAGAGTTAGAGTTATCCATGTTTATCTGTCCTATACGGAACTGAATGCTGGCCAACGACAAAGAAACATGAACAGGCACTCCCTACGATGGAAATGAAGATGCTGCGATGGACCCTCGGCTTGACAAGACTAGACCATGTCATGAATGAAGAGGTGCGAAAAACACTCAAAGTCACCCCAATCACTGAAAAAATGAGGGAATCAAGCCTGCGATGGTATGGACATGTGTTCCGCAGCAATGACTGATCTTAGGAGCTAAGTAAGGGTGGGCCTGGTAAATACTGGGACCTCTAAGTTGAAGGAAAACTAAGTTGCTGGTCCATGCATTGTTGGTAGACCAGTAGGGTCTATTCTTATTTCTCAACCAGAATTTCCAAACCGTGTTCCAATATGGTTGCAGGGACACTCTACAGCAGGAGATGCCATGCCTTGGTTAAGATATTAAATCAAGATTCTGAAACATTGGTCTTTAAAGCACCCAAGGCACTTTTTGAAAGAGTAACGGTGTAAATACTGTTACCCTACTACCGTTCCTAAAGTTCACAATTTAAAAAATATTGGCTGTGCTGTATGTCACTTTGGTGCATGCTGCACTACACAGGTGCATGGGGAGGGTACCCTGCGCTGTGCTATAGGATACTTTTTGATTTAAAGCACAATAAATGTAAGCACTTTTTAATTTCATTACTAACATTTATAATTTAGACTATTATATATAATATAGATAATTTGAGAATTTCTGATCCTCATACTGTATATATAGTATAAAAGACCTACTACAGTATATGCACAATGGATTCTGAACCCTCCAAAAAAACAGGCCATACTGAAGTTCTGTCACCATACTACACAATATACTGTGTAACAGTAAAGATATTTTCCCCATGTAAGGGTCTTTTCCAAATGTCTTCTATTTTACAGGCATTTACAGTGCTTATGCATTTTCTGGAATAATGTTGTGACATTTTTAGAGTTCAAATTTGATCTAAGAATAACACCAAATGCTTTTGATATAATTATAGGAATAGAGCAGAAATAAGGAACTTATTAAGTTCTGTGAAATGTCAGCTGAAATATAAAAAACGCTTTAGCAGGTTTGAAAAACATTCACATATGATTGATGAAGAAATGCATTGTGAACAATTACACATTTTCAATAATTTATCATCTGCTGAAAAAGATGTTAATGGCTTTCAAATGCATTCAGTGCAAAAATATTCTTAGTTCAATACATTTTGGTTGGTTCTGGGCATACACAATAGAGATTTAAAACAGGACAAATGCAATTATCTATAAATTGTATTTTTGGAAAAAATGAAGTAAATTATGGATCCTACTTTGATTTTTCTTTATGTTATAAAGTATTTAATACTAGTGTTTTGTTAAAGTGTATAAACAATTGGAAAAGTGCTGCTGGCGTATGTTAAGTATTAATCGTGTAGGGTTCTCTTTGCTTTTGGCAAAATAATTCCTCCTGCAGCCTTAGAGGTGCCTTCATTCTTGCACCAAAGTCAGTGTATGGCTCCTACAATAGGCATTGACTCTCCTGTGAAGCACTGTGGAGCAGTGGAATGTCAAAGGATGAGTCATTCTGGAATGTACACTGCCCTGTGTGGCACAGTAGACAAAGTCACAAGAGATTCCAATCAGCTTGGGTAATTATTAATAAAAATGTGTGTTGATCAGAAAATGTTGTTTAAAGAAGTAGAGCAGAAGTATATAAATAAACGCTACCAAAATACTTGGACAAATATAAAATAAAAGACAATTGTGCGCAATGTTTTTAATGACCTTTTTAGCCATATAAAAGGCCAAATATATAGGTCAAACCTATAAGGAACACC